TTATTCTTGCATGTAATTTTCAATTTATTTGTTTTGTACAAATAGTAGTAACTATATAGTTAGCAGTTTAATGGTTAGCTCTGATTGCAAGTGTTGGCCTTGGCAATAGCATATATATATGTAACTATTTTAAATTATTAATAATGATATAAGCAAGGCTTCACCTTAATACCAAAAAAACAAAAGTAAATAACAAATGTATGCAAAGAATTAGTCAAGTAAAAACATGTGAGTATAAATAAAAAAAACATATAGTATATATTAGACATATGAAAATAGAAATATGAGGGGTGCTAGTAGAAACCAAGCAAATCAATAAATTTAAGTTTTTGAGATAATGTGACTTTTGTATTTAGTTACACAAATGCACATGACATCCAGATAAACAATAATTGACATCCAGAATCAGTCGGCCTTAATCAGAATTTGTGTAACATAAATCATGTAATATAAAGTGTCAGTAGAAATCAAGCAAATTTATTAGATAAATTTGCTTGGTTTTTATTGTTTTGTTGAAATTTAAATCACTCATAAATTTTTTTGTTATTTAGTCTCTTTTCATAAGTAGATCATATGTTTAGAATATAAGCTTTGTTTTTATAATTAAATTCATGACTAAAATTATGTTTGTCTCGTTGGTTAGTTTTGACCTTTCACTGCAGTAAAGAGCATTTAATAAACAAATTTATCAAAATTTTAAAATAAATATCCTTCAAAAAACATGATTAACATGGTTTGAACTTCCTGTTTGTTTAAAATTAAGCTAATATCTGTAGTCAATCTAAATTTATTAAGTTGTTATTTAAAAATTAACTTAGTCAAATATGTCAAATTATTGCCCGTAGTACATATATAAAAAATACGTATGTGAATTTCCTAATATTACACTTGTCTTAAATTTTAGTTTTCTGAAATATCATAACATTTTCTAAGTACTTTAATTGAAAATTGACTAAGTTAATTTATTTAAAATTGACTAATATAGTTAAGTAGATTTTATTACTGTAATCACTGATTAGATCATAAGATAAGAACAATATGGATTGAATAAAATAAATCTAATACTTTTGATTTAATAATATAATAAGAACCTCAAATACTACATTTAAGCTAATAGTAAAAAAGTTGCAGTATTCGTCTTTTCAGATATTTTGGATGGTTTTATTATTACAAACTATTATTTAAGTACTTTTGAATAGCATTGCCTCAATGTTCAAAAGTTGAGTTTTTATAAGTTAATGTTTTTAAACTAAGCAAAAGTAACGAATTATGGTTCAAAAAAAAGATGCTCAGGATTCTTATTGAGCTCTAATTAATACATATCAGTAAGCTAATTGAAGTATACTCAAATGTATGAGAATGGTGTATTAGCAGTAAACAAGGTTGGCGATAGAGCTTAATGGAATTCAATAAAGTTCTAAATGAACCCAATAGAGCTCTGAATAGACCAAATAGATAATAGTCTATTCGGAATTCTAATAAGCCTCATTACTAACTATGATAGCAAGTGAATCAAATTAATATATATAAAAATTTGATCTAAATTCTATCTCTGTGCATAATATTAATTTGAAAATCGAACCTATTAACAAGTGATTGTTTTAAAATAACATCTAAAGTAAAATCAGTGTCACCAATAAAAAAATTTTACTATCCAGTCAAATTAAAGATTAGGTGTAATGTAAAATCAAAAAACAAAATGGACCCAAACTCAGTAGTAAATTTTTTAGATTGGTAATTCAAGGATTCTACCTAAAGGAATCATATAATCCTGTAAAAATCCTAAAATGTATATTTATATTTATGTAAATTCTTATCGTAATTGCATTGGTATTGTTTAAATCTATATGAGTATACAAATTAGAGTAAAACTTCTGAATTAGTTTTAGCATGTATGCATGTATATACTATTAGTGTGATGCCAGGTAAAAACCTGTAAATTGCATTTTAAATGCATATGTGTATTATAACTTTAAAGATTCAATTTCTGATAATGCGATTTACTTTCTAAAGTGTAAATATAATATGAATAAGCATCCATTATTTAATAGTATATTTAGGGAAACACATAGCGAAATAAAAGATTTAAATGATGAGTTAAATCAGTTACAAGAAATTTATCAATTAAAATATAATTCTGATGATGACAAATCAGATAATAAAGATAATTACCAACATTCAATGTCAGCTAGTGAGGATTTACTATTCGATCATATTGACGATGAGTTAGATGATTATTTTACTTTACAGCAAATTAAAGAATTTCAACAAATTTTTTTTCAAAACCCAATACAATACACTAAGGAATATAGCATCAAGTAGCAACAATGTTTAGACAGAAATAATGATGAGGCATTTTTAAAAAAACGTGAACAAAAAAATTGTTGACCACAAAACTGTCTTTTATCAAAAGTTAATCCACAAATGGCACTTGATAGATTTCGTGAAATTAAAGCAATATCACAAGTAGAAATGGATTTATGTTTTTTAGGAATGATTGATGAAAGTATTAAACCTATCAAATCTGCATCGAAAACACCAAAGTTGTATTTAGTAACAAACTATAATTTTTCAGAGATTTCAATTTGCCAAACAGCTTGGTTAACAATTCATGAAATAGGTAAATCAAAGTAGGAAACATTACATGCATATTATCAAAATCATGAACTTAAACTGAAAATTTATGCACTTACTGATCGAATCAGTAATATAATTTCTTTTGCTACTATTTTACATATATTAAAATTCATTACAAATTTTGCAAACCAATATGGATTATCTTCACCAGGTAAGATATTTTAATACAGTTAACTGTCAATATAACAGAAACCTGAACTAGTCTAAAAACCTTGTTATATAATGAAATAAATCTGACAACTATACAATTCTGCTATAAAGCTATTTAAAACTTAATTTTTGAATAGTTATTAGTACATTACATTCTTAAATCCATGATTCATATAGGCAAAAATCTCTAATTGAAACAGAGTAATTATTAAAAATTAGATGATTAGTTTATAATCAGGTACAAATGTACCAAAAATTTATAAGTAATTAGGTCACAATTAGATATATACACACAAAAACTTATAAGCATCAGGTACAATTAGATATAATCTCTGATCAAAAAATCACTTTTATTCTCAATAATCATGCCATCTCATATAAATTATTGCCTCAAATTTATTTAACTTAATTACTCACAAATCGGTATGAAATTAATGTAATTGGATATTTTCACCCATATGTAAAAATTGAAATCAGTTTAGTTAACTAATTAGTTGACTAAGCATAATAGTCGACTAAACCAATTCTAATCTCTAATTGTTACAAGAATTCATTATAATTTAATAATAAAAATTATTAAATAATAATGAAATTGTTTATTAATAACTCAGTACTTTGAGCTTAATCAATTAAACTGGTAAATTATATCAATAGTTAACTGGTTAACTGTAGTTCAAAAAAGAATAATAATTGTAAAAAAATAACTCTTTTAATTAAATATTAGGTCATAGCTTTAGAGATGATACCAAGGAAATTATTTTTTTACCAGCTTTTGAAAGTAAAAATTCTTTGTTTTGAATTTATAATGATATTGAAAATGGTGATGAACATGAAATTAGTATGACCAGTTTTCAAAGAATTTGGAAAAAATATCTTACAAGAATAAAATTTATGACTGCTCAAAGTGATCTATGTACATTATATAAATCTATGCATTTAGTGCCAAATATTGGTCCACTATAGAAACTAAACAAAAATTATAGGAATGGCAAAATCACATAACTTGGGCTTAGTTAGAATGTGAAAATTATAAGTAATATTTACTAAAAAGATAACAAATATAATGTAATAATAGTCTTCTAAGAAATATTTATTCTATAATGCGATTTAGTATGATATATCAATATGTTACCATATAGCATGCATACAATACCCCTAAGTCTTTTCAAAAATGCCAAAATAAACTAAATAATATCCGAAGGTATTGTGCAAAGAGAGAGTACTATATGAAAGAAGAGTATTAATTATATAAATTAATCGTATGACAAAATCATTAATTTGGATAGTAAATTACTATATATTTGATTAGTATTAGGATTTTTTTTCAAAAATATTAGAATTTATAATTAAATAGCATTCAGATACTATTTAAAGTGAATACTGCAGTGCTTAGGAATGTGCCATTTATATGATACCTGAATTTTTTTTCATGTACAGCAGGGTTGGGCAATTAGACACTTTAGCTGTCCAGTGAAACTTAAAATTTTTAATTTACCTATAATTTTTTTTGTAAATAAGTAATCTCCATTCAGAGTTAAGCAAATTAAATTAATTGGACAATAGCATATGGCCAAATTTTTCACTCTATATGTTAATAAATCAATGGACACTGGACAAATTGATATGTCCAGTGTCCAGTAAAATTTACTGGACAAGGAGGTTTCCCAACCCCGATGTACAGTACATAGTATACAGTATGTATAGTACTGTATGCAGCACATATCTAGCAGTGCTGTATAGTATTAAATCATATTGTTGAATAAGTTTTTTGAAGAGATATAATTATCTTATATTTGCCATCTTTCTTATTAGTAATAATTAATACTAATTTATTAGGACTAATATGCATACAATTCTTTTTTTTTATAGGAATTGTGTTGCAAAATCAAAGATTTTATTACGATCTATAATAAATTGGTCTAACTTACCCCAGCCTGGAATTCCTAACTCAATAAACTTAGAAAACCATATTTCATGGGATTATGTGGAGGCTGTTCATATTTCATATTCATCACAGCAGAAGGGTTCAATGTACTTCAAATCTCTTTACAAAGTTGAAGTGTTTGGAGTATATGAAGAAGAAATTCCACATCAGGTAATCAAATATATGATTAATGAAAGCTAGCTATATACAAAAAAGTATCAATCCTGTAATCTTTTTAATTGGAACCTGGTCTAAAAACTGCATCATTAATTAATATATTAGAGGGTTTCAAAATCGGCAAAAAATTGCACATTTTACAAAATAAATAGGATTCTTTAAATAGTATTTTTGCTATGCTGAATTATGAATCAGAAAATTTTTCAGATTTTAATTTTGAAACCCTCTATAGCATGCCTTTGAGGTTGAAGACAGTAAAAGAGAAAGTATAATGAAGACTCGAATTAATAATTAGATTTGTATTAGACTTTTTAATAATAATAAGTGAGTTATTTCAAGATCACAGGACTGATATTTTTTGGGCATGACTAATTCGCATTTAAGATTAAATTACCATATCGATATTACCTTCAAATAATGTCTAGAAATGTTACTTCGAGATACACAATTTAAAAAAAGTTAAGAATTAATTTAGTTGAAGGTTTTTAAAAGATAAAAATTATTATTTATATTCAGTTAAATTAATTCTTAGTATTCTTAGCTTTCTTTAAATTGTGTATCTCAAAATAATGCTCAGGAATATTATTTCGAGATAATATAGTAAAATCTTTTAAGTTGCATCTAAAAATATTATTTATACAGATTAATTACCTTATTCCTGAAAATGAAAGTGTTGGAAAGGGTGCTGATGCTGTTATATCACTCGTTCATAACTATTTTATATTTTACGGTTTGGGAGAGAAATGTGTTGTAATACATGCTGATAACTGCATTGGACAAAATAAGAATAATGTAATGATTAAGTATTTGATGTGAAGAGTAAAGAATGGTCTTTATGATAAGATAACCTATAGTTTTATGGTAGCAGGTTATACAAAATTTAGCCTGAATGGGTTTTTTGGTTTCTTTAAATTAAAACTTCAAAAATCTGAAGTAGATGATTTAATGGACTTGATTAGTGTCGTTCAACAATCTACATTTGGAGAATATAACTAAGCAGCAACTGTCTATGATTCTGAAGGAAGAAAAGTAATAAATTTTTATAAATGGTCAAAATTCTTAGAACAATTCTTTTCAACAATTCCAGAAATTCTTAAGCAACATCAATTTGTTGTATCATGTGAAAAGATTGGAAAGGTAATAGTTTGAACATCAACAGATGCAGTACCAAATGAGATGAGTATTGCACATGTTAATTCAATTCCTCGTACAGAAAAAGAAGAAATAATAATGCCAGAAATTATGTCTGCATCTGGATTAAGTCTAAATCGACAATGGTATTTATACAATGAAGTATGACAACACATACAAAACCTATCAAAGCATGATATTTATTGCACAAAACCAACTCTTTCCAAACCTACAAAACCCAAAAGTATTCATGAATCAAAATAATTCATTTTATTAACAATTATAATTTTTTACATACACGTTTATATTATTTAGCACTAGTATAACACTATTTTAGAACAAAAAAAAGTTCCAAATTAAAAAACAGTAATCTGTTTGGAAATTAGGTTATGATCTGGTTTTTTAGGCCATTTTCATCTCTACCTTAGATTTATAATTAACCTGTAGAAAAAATACTTGTTATTGAGTAAAAAAAAAAAACAAAAAAAAAAAAAAAAAGACTATAGGCTATTATAAAAACTGCTTTTGATTCAGTCACACTACTTAAAAAACATCTGTACTATTATAAAGTTTCGCAACTTTTTGATCAATTCTTGATTTTATTTATTAAATTATATTCTTGAATGCTAATCTTACATCAACATCAATTTTTGAACTTAAGTAATTGCTTTCGAAGCTTCATGAACTGACCCTTATAGATAAAATAATTTGTAAACTCCCATATATGTACTTGATGCTTGCGAAAAGGTACTAAAAGCTTTTTTTAAAATAGCATATTATACGTATCCGAATAGAAATTGTTATATAATTACAGTAAATTATCCAGATAAACGAAATTATAGCAGATCAGTATGATATAGGTGAGCAGATCCATACAGTATAGGCCAAATTTAAAATCTATACTATACTAATCAGCTATAATTTCTAACTATAATGCTAATATATATAACACCAGATCAGTATAAGCAGTGTCTGAAATTGGGTTGTAGAACTTGCAGACTGCAAATGATTTATAAGTTCTTGCAACTAAAATCTGAAATGCATATGCAGTTCTGCAAATAAATTTTATACATTTGCACATAGATATGTTCAAATTTGTATATAAATATATTTATATGCACAACCAAATCCATATAATCTGCAAGTATAGTTTTTATTTAGTTGCAACCCGCAACTAAATTAAAAATTGAATTTTAGATACTGAGTATAAGTATAAATTTAAAAATTCAGCCTATACTATACTGATCAGCTAACCTATACCATACTAATCTGCACAAATACTCAGATAAACAAGGTATAGAGTACAATTTTCAGTTATCATTATTGCCTAAATTTATTAACTAATTAACAATACGAAATACATTTGCACATTTTTTTTTATAAATTTAATATGTAGGTGATTTCTATTGGTTAATTATTTCTGATCTAGTGAAGATCAGATGATCTGTTCTGACCGAAATGTAATTTTGTGTAATGTAAACTTTAATATGTAATATCTCAAAACTTTATTAATTAATAAGGGGTTCATTATTAAGCAAAAAATGTTCTTTGTAAAATTTTACATTATTTAAATGCAAAAAACTTATTTTTGAAAAAATTTGGATTTGCTTGGTTTTTATTAGCACCCCCCATATCAAGAAAAGTAATATAAATAGTAAATAATATAGCAATACAATACAAACAAAAATAAAAGAATTATTGATACTAAATTTAGTAAGAGAAATAATAAAATATCAAACTAAAATAAATAACAAGCAGAGAGCTAAAATTAAAGTTAGCAAACAGAATCAACCTTTTTAATTTAAAGATGTTACAGCAGCAGTACTATAAAAAATTGATTTAATGAAAGCAATAATGTTAAGAAAGATATATAAAATGATAATTAAAATTAATATAAATAATTCTAATAATATAGAAAAGTGAACAGAAAAGCTTAACCAAACAAGTAAAAACTTAATAAAAATCAAAAATATGAAAAACATAAAAAAACAAGTGCCTAAAAAATTAGAAATTGCTTTATTAGAAAGTAAAAAACAAGTAACAGATAAAATAAATAAACAATTTATAATACAAAAAGATGAGTTAGATATAAATAATGGGTTCAATAAGCTGGCAGAAGATCTACTAATAAAGAAAACATTAAGAAAAACAATGCAAATACAGGAAACAGAAAAAATAGAAATGAATAGAAAGGTATCAAGACAAATTCAATACAGAAAAAAGAGATACAAGACAGAAGAAAAAATTTATATTCAAAAAAAATACTAGAGATACTATTATAGCAAAGTATATAAATACTAGAAAATAGATTATATAAAAATAAAACATCAACTATTACAAAAATTTAATTATATAATATTCTAGATTAAACAAAAAAAGAAAGAATCAGAATGGTTAAGTAAATACTAAACATGAACAAATATGTTATAAGTATAAAAAAAGTATTTACAAAAATCAACAATTAGATAAAGATACATTTTGACTATAAAAAAGAAAGAAAGAAAGCAATAGATTGTCTAGACTAAAAGTATAAAGGATAGTTTAAAATAATATCAAATAAGACAGAGTACAAAAAAGTAAACAAAAAAAAAACACAAAAAAAATTAAATAGAGAAAAGAAAAAAGAAAATTAACAAAAAACAAACTTTTTTCTTTAGTAATCACAAAATAATACTAGCAAAGATATGAGTAGAACATATAATTAGAAATTATAGTAATGTAAAAACCAAACAAGAACAATATATCTCTATAAAGAAGCAAAACAAAAAGTTAGAAAGAATTTGCAAGAGAACTGCAAAACTAGATAGAATAGAAAAAAGAAATCAAACAACTAGAAAACAAAAAAACAGATATAGAATGTGATATTGAAGTGATATTAATATAATAAATTATATATGAGATGCAATAGAAGCAGCTATAATTGAAGCAACAAATAAACAAATTCTAAAAAAGAAGATATTAATAAAAAAAAATAGAAAATGAGACCAAAAAAAGTCAAAGTAGCATAAGCATACAATTGAGCTGCAATAAATAATTAAGAAAGCAAAAAAAAAAAAACTAAGAAGTGAATAGAAAAGAAAGAATTAAAATAAATAACAAACTAAAAGACATAAGAAAAATATAAAATCAACATTATTAAAGCTGTATAGACAGTAGTCAGAAGTCTGGATAAATAACATGAAAGACTGACAGAGAATAATCAAAAAAATAGATAGAAGAATAGAAGTAAGTTCAAAAAAAACAGATAAAGAAAAATATAAACAAAAGATATAAAATAATCAAAACTGATCAAGAACAAATGATTGTTAGTCTCTTAAGCAGACTTTACAAAAAGATAATTCTTAACAGATTTCTTATACAGAACAAAGAAAAAGTTAACAGAGTCAAATACAGTTTCAAGTAACTTAGTAGAATACTTTAAAAATCAGTTCAGAAAAAGAAAAACCAAACTCAAAAAAATGTCAGAAGATTAAAAAGAAGTATATAAGTCAAAAGAGTAGATTAGTAAAACCTAATACAAAAATTTAAAAAAAAATAGAAAAAAAAATAAAAAGATATACTAAAAGAACTCAAAGCTGATACTGCTTTAGAAATATTTGATATAAGCTATACACTAATAAAGAGAGCAAAAAAGAAGTTACAAAAAATATTTAAAACCTTTACAAATTTGGTTTTAAAAAAAGAAATAATTTCAAAGAAGTAAAAAGTAGCACAAGTGCATACAATTCTAAAAGATAAAGATTAAAATATAGCTTAAATAGCATTAGGATGATAGTATTAATTAAGATTTTAGAAAGGTGGTTACAAAAGTAGTAACAAAAAGACTAGTCAAGGTATTCACAGAAAAAGAAATACTCAAAGAGCCAAACTATGCAGATTTGCTAAGCAACTCAACAGAGCAACTGATACATATACTAAATATAATAATAAAAGAAGCACAAGAGAAAAACAAAGAAGTGTAGATACTGTTACAAAATATGAGAAAAGTATTTGATTCAATTCTATTAGAAGGCTTAGAATAGGTTCTCAAAAGAGTTAAAATATCATAAAGAACAAAAAATATATAATAGATTTTTATAGTAAATAGCAATTTAAAGTTATTACAGCTTATGGTCTAACAGAAGAAATAACAGCTAGAGATTGAATAGATTAAGAAGAAGTAATTTTACTTTTAATGTAACATCTATTCTATGATTCATTTTTAGAAAAAATTCAAGAAAATAAAACATAGACTATGTGATAGAGCAGAAAATGAAAAAAAGAGTATGCAGTAGTAATATTACAAGGCATAGATATATTAAAATGATACAATATGAATTGCAAGTAGCAAAGAATAATTGTTAAGAATTTTTGAAAAGCCAAAGAGTTTTTTAAAGCTAATAATATTAAAATAAATAGATTCAAATTAAAGTTTTTAGTAATAAATATAAAAATTAAAAAAGAAGAAAGAAAAATTAAATTTGAGCAAAGTAAAATAATAAAAGAATTAAGAAACAAGATAATAAGATCATTAGAGATCTGGCTAAATAGCAGAATAAAAGAAACATTAGTCTGCAAAAAAGTAAAAGAAATAGTTAGTCAAACAATTAAAGACTTAAGATATAAAAAATAACAATAAGCCAAGTTGCATATATAAATAATATAGTAATAATTTCAAAGTTAGAATATCTCTTGCAATTAACAAAGATGTCAAAAAAGATAATTAACAAAATATACTAGCTATTAATATGTTTGGCTAAACATAAGTGCAATATAATGAAAACATTAAATAATTACTTGATTAAGCACAAAAACTTAGAAAATTGTAAATCACTAAATCAAGAAATAACAACAAAGCAGATAAGTAGTCTCTTCTTAAAACTTAATAAACAAGATAGTTTGGATGATCTAAAAAACTCAGAATAGTTCAAGGGTACCAAAAAGCAGACATAACAGAAAATATTTGAAACTATGAAAGAAGACCAGAAGAGAAGAAATATTGAAAAACAATTTAATCTGTTAAACAATAATAAAAGCAAAAAATATAAGTATAGGTATCAAAGCAAAGAAGTGCTTATAAAAAGTATATGGTTATGACAAAAAAATAAAAAACATAATAAGAACAGAATTATGAATAATAAGCAATAATACAATAAATAAATAAGGGCTATTATATATAAACTAGCTTA